CAGAGAGAGAGAGAGAGAGAGAGAGAGAGAGAGAGAGAGAGAGAGAGAGAGAGAGAGAGAGAGAGAGAGAGACACGAATCATTCACTGTTTAAAAAAGCTTTATACACTAATATTTTGTTTAACTTCTTGCTACTGTTCAATAAACAAATTTACAATAAAAGTCATGTTAACATTTTAAAATTCCCGCCAATTCTATTTGTCATACAGTGGTCATGTTCTGTGAAGTAGTAAGTTGTTCATTCATTGAGGAAAAGGTTGACTCATAATGATATGCCTGATCATCAGCAGACCAAAGCTAATGCAGCGCCACATTTCTAACTATCACTCACAAATTAGAAACATGAATTTGCACTATATTCTATAATATATTTATTCCCTTTTTACGTTTCAGGCAAAGTAAACAGAAGTGAAAAGTCTGTATTGATTTTGCTGCCACGAGCAATCCATTGAAGTCCAAATTTTGAGAATAATATTCGATTTTCACACGCTTGCAAAGCTCTATTAAAGATGCACCTTTCAACATCACCAAAATGCCGTTTAATGTTATGGTCATGGCTTACAATTTTCTTGCTTTTCATGATTTTCGATAGAAACAACAGCACAAAAAAGTAGTTGGTTTTTTTGTTTTGTTTTTGTTCTTTTTTTGTTTTGTTTTGTTAAAAAGTAACCAAACGGAGTAAAGTGGATTGCTCGCAGCACCGACCTTATTATGCTCTTTTTTTTGTTTAATCGTCCCAAAACAGCGCGACTTCAAGTATTGTCCAAGTATTAGCCTGCTGACTGTTAAACCTCAGAGAGTTAACTGAACCTCCTCGTAAAATGTGTGATTTAAGCACACAGCAGCAAACACTACGCTAATACGGGATGTCCACTACGGATCGATCGGCCGACTCTATCGCCTCAAAAACAAACGTGTTGTTTAGTCACGCCAGTGTGTACGGAATCATAACCATTCCTGACCTTCATACATAATTTATGTATGAGGTCAGCTTCCGCTTTGTGCAACTCCACGAGCGGACGTGTTTGGCTTGTGAGCTTAGTGAATTCTCCATTTTCTCAAACTTTTCGACTTTTTAAAATTATCTTATGGACTCAAAAGAAATTCTGAGTGCACTAACTTCCATTCAGGAACGTCTTAGTGCCTTAGAAGCACGACCGATAGTGAATGAACAAGGTGAGAACGATAACATAGCAGGCCCTGGGCCTAGTAGATCTACCGTTACTGGATCTCGATCTACTGCCAGTGATAGCCAGAACAATCCGAGCGTTTGTTTCTTTTAATTGTTTTCAGTTTCAGGCGATCGAGTCGGGCGATCGGCACGATCCAGTCGTAGTGGGCACCCAGTATAAGTAATACGGAGTGCCAATTGGAGGATCGGTAAACTGATCGTCCAAATCGTCCCCTGAATACAAATGCGTTTATTTTTCTAACGACGAGTGGGGCGATCAGTTTGTGCAACGATAGCAGCTTTGCGCCCTCAATCTGGCTCGCAAACCTCATACGGGGTGCCCACTACAGTTGGATCGGGCCGATCACCTGACTCGATCGCCTGAAACTAAAAACAAACACGTTTGTTTTTGAGCCGATCGAGTCGGGCGATCGGCCCGATCGGCCGATCCCGTCCGTAGTGAGCACCCCGAATAACCGAACCAAACCGATGGCGCCAACGGGCAGTGGGTAGGAAGGAGTGAGGAGCGACACGTACAGATGCCCTGTCGTCCTTGGAGAACTTGGCGTCCAGGAACATCCTCCCGACGGCAAACCCCAGGTTCCGGCCGGTGTAGCTCACGCACAGGTCAGGCCGCGAGAAGTCCGCCTGCTGGCCGAAGATTACCTGGAGACGACGTTATCGATGTTTCGTTGGACAGAAGTTACGTCACAGTGGTTGTATTGCGTCACAGAGAATGTGGTATGTTGTAGAGATTGTGTTATACCATAATATTGTGTTGCGTCATAGAGATTGTGTTGTATCATAGATATTGTGTTACGTCATAGATATTGTGTTACGTCATAGAGGTTGTGTTACGTCATAGAGATTGTTTTATATCACAGAGAATGTGTTATGTCATTGAGATTGTATTACGTCATAGAGATTGTGTTATATCATAGAGATTGTGTTGTATCATAAAGATTGTGTTACGTCATAGAGATTGTGTTGTATCATAGAGATTGTGTTGTATCACAGAGATTATATTACGCCGTAAAGATTGTATTACGTCATAGAGATTGTGTTATATCATAGATATTGTGTTACGTGATAGAGATTGTGTTGTATCATAGGGATTGTGTTACGTCATGTATATTATATTATGTCATAGAGATTGTATTATATTACAGGGATTATGTAACGTCATATATATTGTGTTATATCAAAGATATTGTGTTACGTCATAGAGATTGTGTTGTATCATAGGGATTGTGTTACGTCATGTATATTATATTATGTCATAGAAATTGTATTATATTACAGGGATTATGTAACGTCATAAGAGATTGCATTACGTCATAGAGATTATATTACGTCATAGAGATTGTATTAATTATTTTTTTAACCATTACTGTTCGCGTATAGACCACCTGGAAAAGATTCCATCGAGGTTTTGTTGGACAGAAATTACCTCACAGATATCGTACTGATTATTGTTATAATCGTTGTTGGACATAAATCTCATTATAGGAATAATCCCATCTAGATTTAGTTTGACACAAGTTAAGTCACATATATCGTATTGATTATTGTTGTAATCAATTCTTTTTCTCATTTAAAATCCACACAGTTAGGAGTTTTAAAGAACATAAAGGTATTGATGCCTCCCCATCCCCTCTCCCCCCACAAATAAAAAAAATAAATATAAATATATTAATGTAATTGTAATCCTATCGAGGTTTAGTTTGACAGAAGTTGCGTCACAGAGATTGACAGAAGGTACGTCAGAGATACTCAATTAATGTAATTATTGTTCTAATTATTATTGTTCGTGAATCACCAATGAAAGATTCAACTCATGTTTCGTTTGACACAAATTAATAATTAATAAATAATAAATGACATTTATATAGCGCTCAACCCCGATTAAAATACACAGGCTCGGAGCGCTTTACAATACAGTACAACATACAACAGTAACATGAAACGATGTGTTCTGACTAAAGAAACTTATTCCAAATAATCATCGTATCAATTAAAACAGAAACGACTTCAGTTGACATTTGAATGAATCAAAAGATTTGATCTCTCTTAAAGTACTGGGTAAAGCATTCCAGATTTTGGGGCCTTGACGTAATAGATATTGTTGGCAGGTTCTTGGAGGGCACTACAGGTAATGTTCTGCTTTGTTTCTTTCCCTCTATTGTTTCTGTCTGTATCTCAGTCTTACTTTTTCCCAGCACTAAATTACGGCTATTGTGTCGAGTTGCTTCTCTTTACTCAAACAAACAAACTTTGTACTTATTATTTTCTGCAGGAAATCCTGGGAACAGTTCCGTTGAAGTAATTGTAATCATTATTGTTTTTATCAGTATTGCCCATAGTGTACTTAGTGGGTGGTGGGCGGGTGCTCTGGCATGGTTTGCTTCTTCTTTCCTATCAAACATCTATCGTCCTTATCTCCGCTCCTTCTTTTTTATGTTTGTTCCTCTCTTGTAACACCTCTAATCTTCTGGCGCTCATATGACCTTATGCAGTTGCGAGTGCCGTAAAACCTCTACTAAAACAAACAAAGTGTACCTAGGATCAGGAACTATTCCATTCCATTGAGATTTCGTTTATGGGTGGTTGATGAATGCTCTCGTGTGGTTTGCTCTTTTTTTCCTTATCAAACACAATTTGTCATTATCTTTCCTCTTCTTTTCTTTGCGTGTTACTCTCTTGTAACACCTCTAATCTTCGCCAAACTTATATGGCCTACTTGATTTTCAACGCTGCCATAAAGCACTTACTAAATTATTCTTTTTTTAAAGAGAGAAAAAAAGGAACATTTGTACTCCACCTACCCGCTTATAGGCCACAAACGCCTCCCTGAAGTCTGCACCAAGAGTCCCCACATTGTCAAAGACGGCTCTCCATACCGCATAGTTCGCCAGAGTTCTTTGGATAAACCACAATATCGGTGACATCCTCTACATATATGGGACAAGCATAACGGCAGTGACATTCTCTCTACATACATTATGGAACAAACATAACGACATTGACATTATCTGTACATATATGGGACAAACATAAAAACAGTGACATTACCTGTACATATATGGAACAAACATGAAGACAATGACATGCTCTGTACATATATTATGGGAGAAAAATAACGACATTGACATTCTCTGTACATATATATATGGAACAAACATGAAGACAATGACATGCTCTGTACATATATTATTGGAGAAAAATAACGACAGTGACATTATCTGTACATATATGGAACAAAGATAAAGTCAGTAACATTATTTGTAATTTTATGGAGCAAACATAACGTCATGTGCAGTGACATTCTTTGTACATATATTATGGGACACACATAAAGACAGTGACATTCTTTGTACATATATGGAACAAACATAAAGACAGCGACATTCTCTGTACATATATTATGGGACACACATAAAGACAGTGACATTCTTTGTACATATATGGAACAAACATAAAGACAGCGACATTCTCTGTACTTGCACAGTCGTAATTATCTAAGACGGCCACCCACTGTCGGAGAAAAGTTTGGTTAAGACAGATGGACATCTTATACGGCGTCTTTACAATGTTAGAAACAAACAAGCAAACAAAAAATGTAAGACGGGAGAGGGCGGTTGGCGGGTATTGTGGTATGTTCTTCTCCTTCTCTCCTATCAAACATCTATCGTCCTTAAATCCTCACATTCTCTTTTGTGTGTCTTACTCTCTTGTAACACCTCTAGTCTTCTACACTTATATGACCTCAGTGTGATGCAAATGCCGTAAAACTCGTACTGAAACAAGTAAGAGGGGAACTGGGTGCACCCTTATGATAAAATTCTATGAATCCATTCACCACAGTGAACCCAAAATACGTCAGTATATTGTCTGGGATATATATCATACAAGTCTTTTGTTTAGTTTTAGTAGATTTTTACCGCGCTCACATCTGCATAAGGTCATATGAGCGCCAGGAGATTAGAGGTGTTACAAGAGAGAAACAAACACAGAAAAGAAGAAGGGGAGATAATGACGATAGATGTTTGATAGGAAAGAAGCAAACCACACAAGAGCACCCGCCCACCACCCACTCATACACGTCTACGGACTCACTCAGAGTTGTGAACTGGATATAAGTCAGAGTGTACCATCTGGGATATACCAGACAAGTCTAGGGGATTCACGAAGTCACTCACCATACTGTGCCGAAAATACGTTAGAGTGTACGGTCTGATATATAATAATCACACAAGTTTATGGGGCGCGCTCAACACGGTGAACCGGAAATGCGTCAGAGTATACGGTCTTGAACATTAGAATCATCTAAGTCTATGGGGCTCACTCAACACAGTGAACCGGAAATGCGTCAGAGTATACGGTCTGGAATATAATAATCATATATATATAAGTCTATGGGACGTACTCACTACCGGTACAGTGAACCGGAAATGTGTCAGAGTATACGGTCTGGGATACAATAATCATATACATAATTATATAATATAAGTCTATGGGACGCACTCACCACGGTGATCCGGAAATACGTCAGAGTATACGGTCTGGGATATAATAATCACATATAAGTCTATGGGCCTCGCTCACCTGGCGGAGGTGTTGTTTACGAGTTGCAACATCTTGCTGTAATAGGCTGGAGACTTCACGTTGACGATCTCTTCCTCTGTGATGTCATAGACGTCTATGCCGGGCAGAGCCATCATCTCCAGCACATAGTTAGACATGTTGAACACCTGCAATACATGTGTGGCGTCGTGGTGAAATCAGGCGCTCGGCAAAATAAGGAACTTGAAGAAATCGGCATTTTGTCCATCTTTATAATTATTTTTTTACGATTTTTGGGACCGGGGATCAACTACCTTTTACGAACATTTAAAACACACTACTGTGTGGATTTTAACGAAAAAAAGGTGACTAAAGGTAAAAGAAAAGACAAAATATATATATAAATTTTCAGTCTTCAAAGACTATAGAGCTTTGTTTTAGTTTTAGTAGAGGTTTTAACTTGCTCACAACTGTATAAAGTCATATGAGCGCCAAATCGAGCTTAGGAGGTCACCAAACTTTGGCGGCCATTTTCTCGCTTAAATTTACTTCCGACAGAAGGCAACACTCACCTCCTTCAATCCCGAATATCCCGGCTTCTATTCAAGATAGCAAGATAGATCGGTCAATTTTTCATCATAATCAAATAAAATAAACTGGCCTTTAGAATAATGATAATAATCTCAATAACACAAAAAAATAACCAAAGCGCTAGATCACCGGCAGGCTGTAGTTCCCGATGATGTCACCCAGGGACATCGGGTGGTACATGGCGTACGCGTCACGCCGGTCCTCGGGGCGGTCAGATATCTGGGGACAGATGAGTTAAGACAGAACACTGAATGTTACAGTTTTTGTTTTGCCCAGTTTCCTGATTTAGAGGCGAAATTGGTACGTTGTCAGTAAAATATTGGGTTAGTGTGGTATTTATTGTTAGGGTTAGGTTGGTCAGAATAAGAAAAAAAGTTACTGTTTAGAAATAAATGTTGTTGTTTTTAAAGTCATTATTTTTGACGATTTGCACTGACGATGAGTGAATATTAAGAATGACGATGTAGACTTAAACCTGACGTTGGTGTGGGCCCTCATTTTAAAGCCCACCATAAGATCCCTCAGGTTGTCCTAAGGGGCAATTCCTCAATTCCTCATTCCCAATTTCTCTAATAGAATAACCAAAATTTGACCATAATTCGCCATCAGAATTCCTAACATTTAAATAAAAGCGTGGGAGTATCTAGGCTGAACAAGTAAGTATATGTGTATCTTTCCCTATAGGCATTTAAAACATAAAGTATATACAAACTAATAATTGATTGTTTTAACGTTTTTTCATTCGGCCACTTCTCTGGCCTTGCATGTCATTGTGCTACATCAGAATTACAACAAAGTTCTATCTGACATTTTTGGCAGTTTTGAGTTACTATTCTTTGGAGTCCTTATCAAGATTGAAATAGCTTGAAATGGTGTGAAATTTTTAGAAAATATAAACGTCAAATTTGTCCAAACTAGGTACTGAGCCGATAGAACTTTTTAATTCAAGGGTTGCGATTTGGCTCAAGTTGGACCAAATGATGTGCACCAAAGAGAACCGGAAATAATAATAATAATAATAATAATAATAATAATAATAATAATAATGATAATGGT